AAATTCAGGTTCCAAACTCACCTCCAGAGGTGTCCCCGGGGGTGGCACTGGGGGTGGCACCAGAGGTGACATCAGAGGTGACATTTGGGGTGACATTTTCAGCACAGAGCAGGAAGGTGCTGACGTGGGGGCCATTTTTAGCTGTTTTTCCCAATTTTACCCCAAAATCCCAGTTCCAAACTCACCTCCAGAGGTGTCCCCGGGGCTGTCCCTGGGGGTGGCACCAGAGGTGACATCAGGGGTGACATTTTCAGCACAGAGCAGGAATGGGGGTGACATGGGAGCCGTTTTTAGGGGGTTTTTCCCATTTTTACCCAAAATCCCAGTTCCAAACTCACCTCCAGAGGTGTCCCCGGGGGTGGCACTGGGGGTGGCACCGGGGGTGACATCAGAGGTGACATTTGGGCTGACACTCTCAGCCCACAGCAGGAATGGCGGCCACATTTGGGGTGGACAGGGTCGTTTTTAGGGGGTTTTTCCAATTTTACCCCAAAATTCAGGTTCTAAACTCACCTCCAGAGGTGTCCCTGGGGTTGGCACTGGGGGTGGCATCAGAGGTGACATCAGGGGTGACATTGGGGGTGACATTTTGGGCCCAGAACAGAAATGGCAGCCACATTTGGGGTGGACAAAGCCATTTTTAGTGGGATTTTTCCATTTTTACCCCAAAATCCCAGTTCCAAACTCACCTCCGGAGGTGTCCCCGGGGCTGTCCCTGGGGGTGGCACCAGAGGTGACATCAGAGGTGACATTTGGGGTGACACTCTCGGCACAGAGCAGGAATGGGGGTGACATGGAAGCCGTTTTTAGGGTTTTTTTCCCAATTTTACCCCAAAATCCCAGTTCCAAACTCACCTCCAGAGGTGTCCCCGGGGGTGGCACTGGGGGTGGCACCAGAGGTGACATCGGGGGTGACATTTGGGGTGACATTTTCAGCACAGAGCAGGAAGGCGCTGACGTGGGGGCCGTTTTTAGGGTTTTTTATCCATTTTACCCCAAAATTCGGGCTCCAAACTCACCTCTGGGGGTGTCCCCGGGGGTGGCACTGGGGGTGGCACCAGAGGTGACATCAGAGGTGACATTTGGGGTG